GCAAAATCACGAAAGTTTTTTTGTCAGAATCAGATAAGAATTTTATAAGACGTTCATACGAAATTGGTAAGAAACTGATAAGATTCTTATAAGATATTCATAAGAAAGTGATAAGACGGCTTGTTACTTTCTTATGAATATCTTATAAGTTTCTTATAAGAATCTTATCAGAACCAGTGAATTTTTTGTCACTTCCGTGCAATATCTTATATAAGAATCTTGTAAGAATCTTATCAGAAACTTATAAAAATTGTCAAAAATTCTTTCCTAAGGGTGCAGACTTACCTCATTAAGTTACACTGGACTTAATTGATGTAAAATCTAAGACTAATATACAACTGATTAACAATCGGACTTGCATTGCTTTTTATAACAAGTGAAAAGCTCATTTAGAATACTTTTTACCGGGGTTGGACGGGGGAAATTCATCGGAAAATCTTACGGACTTTCAAATCCGGATGAAATTACATCCGGGTGGGGTTGCGCGGGCGAGTCGGATTTCCGGATAAAAAGTCTTCCCGGACCTAAAAAGATCCGGATTTTAAAAATCTGGATTTCATGACACTCCCCGCATAGCAGCAATAGAACAATTTTTATATTTTCAAAAATAACTAGTTCTACGAATACGACTCGCATAATCACAAGAGACCAAAATACTTGACCGTTTTGGCCATTTGCTTTTAAATGAATTGAGAAGCAACTTAACCATAACAGAAATCAGCAAACCGACTCATAAGCCCCTTTCTAACATAAGAATAGCATAAGAATTTTTGATACTTATGAATTTCTTACGAATCTCTTGTAAAAATCTTATCGGATTCTTGTAAGACACTAACGACCATCGATGTAACATCTCAAACAATCTTATATAAGATCTTATCAGTTTTACCAAAATATTTTTGTCCAAGGCGCGAACGTTTGAAAAAAGACAGGACGAGGTGATTTAGATGAGATGTATTGTCTGATGGTACTTATTTGGATGGACCTTTATAAGCTCTGATTATAGATTTTTCTCATTCGTCAAAAAATGATGATGAACATTTTCGAAGAGCTATAGCTCTTCGTAAAGAGATCAAAAAACGGATCGATCCACGCTCGTACCTCTTATGCTGACTGTCATTTTATCGGCAGCTTATCACGCTTTTCGATAACGAACGTATTTTAGATATATAAAAAAGCCTTTTATTATGTTCGACTGTGTCAAAGCTCATCTCAAAAGAAATATTTTAACTTCATGTTGTTTTTGCTGCACTCTTAAGTCTATCAGATGATAGATGGTTTTTATCACACGTCCGATAGCAGCATGAATTTGTTTGTGCATATATTTTGCACTATTGGCAACTTTTATAGAAAATTTCCCCAACACAAGCAAGTTGTTAAGTAGATAAATGTCGCATTGACCAACATAGGGGAAAAACATGAACAATGCGACATAAGTACGCGGAATCCAAGACCGCCATATGACATGATAGTGATTTGTTTTTATGATAAACGCAAAAAACTATAGAAAACTCTAATGCATCATAGAGCAATACTCGGTTTTAACATGGTTAACAGAATCAGTGTCTGAAACGCGCTAAAACAACTTAAAATTTAACTTGCCATGTGAAGGAAAAAACTCCAAAAGAAAACCTTTTTGTGTTGTGACGCAGCAATATGCGAACCGGTAAAGTCGCAACGCACAAAGCTGATGTCGAATGTGTCGTGACGGTCGACTTCCGCTTTGATTCTGCGTTATAACGCAAAGATAAACTTTGAAATTTTTCCCTTAATTTTTCTTGCGAAAGAATTAAAGTTATTCTACAGATACCGCAGAACCATTGGATAAGCGGTAAATGGCCTGAAGAATTGGGTTGCTGAAACACTTATCGTTTAATCCTCTATTAATCCGATATATTAGACAAATCAAATATTGTATTTAATTCTTTGTTATTTAATCTTCTCCAGCTCCCTGATTCTATAGTAAAGGAAATAATAATAAAATTTCTACGGTTTAGTACGATTTGTTTTAATCAAGTCCAATATCAAAACGTGTTAATAATGCTTGTTTCCTATCTTTGTTATGTTCATTCATATGATCAAGACAAAGAGCTAATTGATTAATTGCGAATACATAACCATATCTTTTGCATCTTTGATTATTATTGTTGTGATAATGACACCTTAACAGATCTGAACAAAGAAAAAAACATAAAAGTATAGAAAAAGTTCTCAATGTTCTCATAGTTCTCAATGTTCTCAATGTTCTCATAGTTCTCAATGTTCTCATAGTTCTCATAGTTCTCATAGTTCTCAAAGTTCTCAATGTTCTCATAGTTCTCAATGTTCTCAATGTTCTCATAGTTCTCATGGTTCTCATAGTTCTCATGGTTCTCATAGTTCTCAAAGTTCTCAAAGTTCTCAATGTTCTCATAGTTCTCATGGTTCTCATAGTTCTCAAAGTTCTCAAAGTTCTCAATGTTCTCTTGAAAATCGAACTCTGCCAACTTCTAGTTATAGCTGTTGTCTACAAATCAAAACAAAATTTTTCTTTCTCTGATGTATTGTTATCGAGAATTCCTGTGCGTGACGAAAGCCCTCAAGCTAAAGAACAATCTTAATGAAGACGCAAAATAAGTTTGATTCTGTTGAATGCGTTTTACTTAAAAACTGTTTGAGCGTTAAAGAATTTGTTGACACTTTGCTTGAGGTTATCGACCATGGCGGATCTAACGAACATGCGCGGCACATGCGTACGTATATGCAATACAAGTGCAAAAAAGCCATTTTTTTTTGCTATAGGGCTTCTAGAAAACTTGCTCAAAACCTATTCTATCGATACAAAAATTATGTCATTAGAAAGTAGACACTTTGGGCTATCCAACTATGTGCTTTTCTCAAAGTTGATGTTTCTGATGACAATCGGCATTTCTGACCTTAGGCCTTAAAAAGTTATGAATTCCTTTTTGATTTTTTTCTAGAGGAAGACAGGGTTAACATTAAAGTTTTCTTATCTCAGTAAAAATATGACAAATGTTAAAGAGCTGGAATGTGTTTACTCTTTATTCTCTATTCTAGTTAGCCACTAACTCCAGAAAAAATTTTGTCTTCCACTTTCTATAAGATGAATAGTTAAAATTGTGCCAATTAAGGAAAATCTATCACAAACGACAATCTTCATTATTCTATGAAAATACAACTAAATTATTCGAAACTCACAGTATAACGAGAATTTAAGATGATCTGTACGATAGCATTGCCGCAAGGCCAGAAAAACATTGTCTTACTAAATCGGTTTTCCAGGAAAGCTTCTCAAAATTCGAGATATGAAAATATTTTTTGACAACACGGAGTTTTTAGAGGTTTCTTTTTTTCTTTCTCTCTAAATTTCGCAAGCTGATAGCATAATTATCATTTCTGCTAGAACATTAGAAACTCATCGTTTGTACATACATTTGTCCGAAACTGATTTTGTTAATACGTCATCTTGCGACAATATTTCAGGTCCTTGCGACAATAATAAACTGTTCCCTTCATACAATTGTTTCATACACTCCGAATTTTTACCATCTATAATGCGATATGTATCTCCTAACGATTGTTGATTGAACTTTTGTAGAATATTTCTGATAATGTCTGCCACAATTTGAGTTGTACATTCGCTGTTTACAGGTTTAATAATAGCATTCTCTAAATATGGCATTAGATCAACAGCATACATCATTTGTTTTATACTCATCTGAAACATGGCTATAAATTTCATATATGATATTTTGTCATCATAGGTATCATTTTCATTTGTAGTAGTTGATTTATAATCAAGAAATATTTGTTTGTATAAAGTCCAAAATCGTTCATCCGATAAAGTATCAGATGAACTGAACGTATTTAATAAGACTCTGTAACATGTATTAAAAAAGTCGTGTTTTTGATAAGGAAAATATTTTTTTAAAATTTCAAAGTGTTCTTTATCGGCTAAGTTTTCATGTTCAATGTATTCCTTACTGTATTCATATTCTGCATCGTCTTTGTTATATTCGTCATCAACATCAGCAGAATTTGTTATTAACATCTTGATTATGTTTGTTTGATTATCAGTTAGTAGTTTGCTTATTGTGTATAACAATTCCAAATTATAATTTTCAAGTATATTGATGTTAGAAATAAAATAATGTTGACAATATTTTGTATGCAATTTATCACAGGCAAATCTAATCCATATCTTAGTTAATTCTTCAATGATATTCGCATCCTGTATTTCTGTCAGATTCATTATTTCACATAGCCATAACACAGTCGTTTTAACGAAATAAGAGCTTACGTACATACCATCGATTATAGTAGAACGTATATATTTGTAATAGATAATTTTTGCGATACCTACAATAATAGCAATATAACTTGAACATCTTAATTATACTAAACAGAAAGTCATGGTAACGACTATTACAACACTATTCAGAATTTTAAGAACTAAATTTCAGTACGATGTTTCGTATGCCATGCCGTCCGTTCATACTCATCAGTAAGAATATTATCGTAAAACAGATGCTATTTAATGTTCTCTATGCAAAGATGAGATCATCATTCATCTAGAACTATTCTTTTAGACGAAAAAAAATAAAATTTTATTCTTTTTCTTAATAATTAAACCATATGCGTCTGTGCATTCAAGTGTCCTCTATCCAAATATATTGTTAAAAAATACAGACACATTTTATATTGTTTACAAAACTTTCTTGTAAAAAGTGCAACTGTATTTTGCAGAAAATTGTTGTACATGTACCATCTTTTGCTTGTCTATAAATCTAAACTACTCAATAATTATAAAATGACTATACTATCGAAAAGCCTATATTAGCAGCTAAATTGCTGGGAAAAAATATTTGAAAAATAATTTTTGTCTGACTTTAAATCAATCACATGCAGTGTGGGCATGATTTGTTATTCTCTCGTGATAACAGTAAAAAAAATATATATATATATTTGAAGAAAACTAATTTTCCACTAAAACATTCAAAATCTTTGATCTAAAAGTATTTTTTTGCTGGTTTTATCCTTTTTATACATTATTTAGAGGAACATAAATAAAAGATTCAATGGAACTGTGTCTTCTTTAGATTTGTGCCTATACATATTTTAATAATTTCTCGGATCGTAGCTGTTTTTTAAAATATTTTCAAGATATTAATAATAGAAAATTTTAATCGATTTAAACTTTACAATATCATTCATAGTTTAATTTTGAGTGCTGATATTGTTTTCCACGATGAAACCTCCTGCTTTCTAACAGCAGATCTCTCTCATTCATCAAAATTTACCAATTAATCTTTAACTTTCAGGGGAAAAGACTGGTATGGTCGCCTCCTGGGCGGTAGAGGTTTCTGCGCGCCGGAATTGTCTACATACCAGAGATCCGCACGGGCTGAAAAATTTTTGACCCGGCCCGATAATGAAAGTTTTCGAACCAAGCCCGGCTTAACCCGACTAAACGCAGAATTTATTTGGTACGGCTCGACCAATCATGAAACTTTTCTGGTCCGGTCCGATTCGACTACTTTGCGCGATTCTCTTTTTGCATCTATAATGGTTTTGCTAACTAAGCAGTGTAATTGTATTTCTCAAGCTAATATTTATATTTTTTTAATTTCTCTGTACC